TAACTTTTCTGTCTCCTCCCCCAGCTGCGGCCCAGCTGCAGATGCCCAGGAGGAGCCCCTCTGTGAGAGAGAGACAGCTGCCCTGGGCGAGGGGGCACAGGGATTTCAGGAGGCAATAGGGAGGGTTAGGCTGGGAGGGTGTGGGGTCAGGGGTGAGAAGGACTGAGATGCGCACTGTGTGACCTGGTGCCTCATCTCACCCTGGGTTAGAGGCCCATCTGGGAGCAGGCGGGGACCTGCCAGGAGACACACCCCTGTTCTGCCCCAGCAGATGCTGCCATGAAGGACCCACAGCCTGGGGAGAGCGTGGAGCTGGATCTTCGGGTGAGACCCCTGCTCCTGTCCAGGCCACCAAGGACCTTCTGTTGCCCACTTTAATCCAATGGACCCTTCCCTATCCCCACCTCACCTGCTTCTCAGCAGCGTCCACACTGACCTCTCCTTCTGGGCCCCCAGGTCGTCCTGCTGTGACTCACTCCTCCTGCTTTCCTTGTGATCTCATGGCCCCTCCTACGTGGTCCCCTTTGCTGGCCCCTCGTCCTCTGTCTGACCTTGTGCAGCCCCGGGTCTCAGGAGGAGGCAGGAATGAATGACTCACCCACAGTCCCCAGGATCCCCTTCATTCATTCCCCCAGCAGATGTGACGGGGCTCACTGTCTACCGGTTCCATTTCAGGGCCACGGTGCAGCCCTGAGCTACTCTGTCCCCACAGTCCGCGAGCTCACCTGTGGGTGAGGGAGACAATACGCAAACAAGCAGACAGTGTCCCAGAGAGCAAAGTGCTGTGAAGGAAAATAAAGCAAGAGGAGGGGATAGAGTGCATGGTGGGGGGACAGGGAAAAGAGCGGGTACAGGGCCTGCTTCTTCAGGAGGATGGGCCATGAGGCTGGAGCCAAGTGAGCAAGAGAGAGCGCATTAGGATAAGAGTCAGAACCACAGAAGCATCCAGAGGCCCCAAGGCTCAGGAAGGCCCTGCGGATTCCATTAGGAGGGGGACCTGATCTACTTAAATTGTAAATCATCTCTTTGGCAACATGAGGATAATTGACAGGAGGCACTGTCTCCAGCAGAACGGGCAGGATGAAGACCCCCAGGGAGTGACGTACGCCCAGGTGAACCACTCAAGACCAAGACCCAGGCAGGGAATGGCCACCTCTCCTTCCTCCCTGTCGGAGGAATTGCTGGACACAAAGGGCAGACAAGCAGAAGAGGACAGACAGATGGACAGTCCGGTGAGCCCCATTGTCTGCAGACCTCCAGGTTTCCCCAACCCCAACCAGGTGTCATCCCTCTCTCTCCCCCTGCTCCAGGCTGCACCTGACGCCCCCCAGGATGTGACCTACGCCCAGCTGAACCTCTTGGCCCTTAGACGGCAGACACAGGAGCCCCCAGAAGAGCCCAGCTTGTACGCTGCTCTAGCCATCCACTAGTCCAGGAAGGACCCAGACCCCACACTCCAAGGAGGGGGCCTGCAGGAACCCCAGAAGGCAAAGGTACTTCCCCCAGGGACACTCAGCTAGTGACTCCAGCCAGCCTCGAGACCAGACGTGCTCCCCCGGCAGCTCCTGGGACCCTCTTGGGAGTCACCTGGTTCTATAAGCAATATGCCTACATTTTGGAATCAAAGCAAGACTTCTCAATAATCAATGTGTGAATTTAGAACAAAAACAGAAGAGAATGCTTTAAATGAACGATGGGCAGCAGCTGCCACGAGCGGTCCTACAGCAGCTCTCCTTCCCCTGCCCCCCTTCCACACCTCTAGCCTCACTGACCAACCTGCAGGCCTCCAGGAGCCATGGAATCCCTACAAGGCTGTGGCTGACCAGGTGTGTGGCCTGCTGCTATGGTCCTCTTCCTTCAATCCTTTGCCTGGGGCCTACTGACAACTCCAATGTTAACTGCAAATGCAGATTTCAAGGTGGAGGTGGAGTATGTGGAAGCTACCGCACTCACCTCCTCCCAGGACCAAACTGGAATTACAACTAAATGAAAGATCTGAGGAGGAGTCACAGAGCCAAGGATTTACAGAAGAAGCCACATCGAGACTGGCAGGAAGGGCAGGCACGCGAAAAGGGCCGCCCCCGCTCACAGGCAGCGGCTTCCTATTTTCATTGGAAGTAGATTAAATTCAGACATTTGTTATGAAGAACAACTTCTGGTTTATATAGTCTTCTTATGACCCACATTTTCAAATGAGCTTTATGATGTTCTTTGGAAACGGACCCTGTCTGGTGGTGGGAGCATCTCAGGAGTAAAAATGTGAGGAGGATCAATGCCCTTTATTAACTTCTGATAGGTTAAGTGAACACCCAAGGCAAACATTTCCTTTGAAAGCTTCCCACAGCGTCACGTTAAACCCTTAGGTAGGCTAGTCAGGTAGAAGGTAAACCTGTCTCAGGAAGATCTCACAAACTTCCTATCCAGACACAAACTCATCCATGTCCTTCTCAGTTTCCAGGAAGATGTCATCCTCTTTAGCTTTTTCTGCAGGGGATCCAACCCACGTTTTCCTCTTAGAAGATGGCACAAGGCTGGAGGCCAGGACATGGGCACAGGTGCTTGCTCCAATGTGCCCTTTACCAAGCACATGGCACCTGCAGGCTCATCTCCGCGAGCATCGCACCATGGCCAACACCACTCAGCTCCCAAGGGCTTCCAAGGGCAGCCACAGGCAGCTTCGAGGTGAGTGATGCTGGTTTCCCTTTATCACCAGACAGAAATCTGTGAATGTTCCCCCACGTCCCGCCTGGTTCAGGGTTCAGGATCTGGAAGAGGGGCCACACACAAATGAAAGAGACGAGACAAGAGATAATTTGGAAATTGGGGGGCCAGACAAGAGCCCATCCCAAGAGGATGGACTCCGCTTGTGCTCAGGCCTTGCCACCCTTTAATTGAGTTTGGGATCCACCCATAGCCCTTAGGCCGGCATTTTCCAGTAACAGGCAGACTATCTTATCAGTAAGGATTTGGTGGGGAAGTTGCTTCAGCTACCATCGTCTTGACTAAACAGTGGGTGCATAGCCCTGACCTTTGCCAGGGCTTCAAGGGTCACCAGCCTTCCAGTCTCCTTGTCCACACCTCTCTGCTAGAGAAGACAGTAGGCGGCTTCCCACAGAAATCCATGTCCGGGGCTTAAAATGATAAAAAATGGCACCGTGTTTGGCCTTGTCTTTAGATTTTACAGCCCCTGGGACCCAGCAGAGGTCCCGCTGTCCAGCAAGGCACTATGGGTGTGGTGAAGTGTTGGTGGAGGAACAGCCAGGTTCAAGCTCCTCAGTGACACCTGCAATGCATTCTGGGTACATGCACAAGACACAGAGCAATGAACAGTTCCTGTTTGCTCAGGACACCTTTGCCTTCTGGGTCACCTAATCCCAAACCTTTCCAAGTGTCAGATCTGGAAAGCAGCAGCATCAGAAGCCAATACCCTCAGGGAGGGCCTGCACCACCGTCTGCAGCATTTTTCACATGAAGGGGTCCCACTTGATAGCTGTGTCAGGGAGAGCTGGGCCGGCACAGCCATGGTGCTCCCATCCTGCACGGGAGGGGAAGGAAGGACAGCAGACAGGGGCGGGGCGGGGAGGAAGAGGTGGGTGCATGGGAGGCAAGCCCTTCCCTCCTCTCACCCCCTGGGGTTTCCCTTTCATGTCCATTCCTATTGGACACTCCCCTCCCACACACCTGCTTTTCCACAGAGAGTCCCCTCCAGGGCTGTCCTGATGTTCAGGACGCAAAGAGGTGGAGAGTGTCCTCTCTCCCTAAGTTAGCATCTGACTGTGATGTGCCCAGCAGGGCCCACGCCAAAGGTGAGCCTCATACTCACACCTGGACAGGCGCCCATTCCCGGCTAGAATGGACTGAATCCATTTCACACACACACAGGGGACATGTAGCTCATTGCTGACCACGGGCTGGGTCCATGGACAGAGAGACCCCAGTGCCCATATCCAAAGCATGTGAAGGGGGCTTCCAACTTTCATCTTGAGTCCAGATCCCCTCCTTGTGTGTGGCCACCTGGGGTCCCTCTCCTGCCCACACAGAGGTGGGAAACTCCACACTGATGACTTCTGGCTGTACCCAGGCACAGTAGCCACTCAGCTTTCGCAGTGGTTGTCTATTCTGCTTCCCTCTCCATCTGGGGAGCTTCCACTTCCCTTTTTGGGCATGAGGATGGCCACATGTTTCAGAAATAGTGTGCATAACCTTTCTCAGTATCCGGACCACACAGGGATTTGTATGTTGGTATAACAATCATCCGATTCTTGCCGAGTTCTGAACAACACCACTCATGGCTCACCTCACAGGCTTAGTCAGGTGTGGAAGTAAACCAGGACGGCTCCCTCCAGGTCCCACGGCACCGACCCCACAACCCTCTAAGGCAGTGCTTCTCAACCTTCCTAATGCCGCGACCCTTTAATACAGTTCCTCATGTTGTGGGGACCCCCAACCATAAAATTATTTTCGTTACTACTTCATAACTGTAATGTTGCTACTGTTATGAATCGTAATGTAAATATCTGATATGCAGGATGTATTTTCATTGTTACAAATTGAACATAATTAAAGCATAGTGATGAATCACAAAAACAATATGTAATTATATATGTGTTTTCCGATGGTCTTAGGCGACCCCTGTGAAAGGGTTGTTCGAAAGGGGTCGCGACCCACAGGTTGAGAACCACTGCTCTAAGGAGTTGGGTTCTTGACGACATGCTGCATGAGAGGAAACTGAGACTCAAGAGATTGTATAGTTGAGGGTGAAGGTCACACACCTAACGGACAATGGAAGACCATTTAAATGAGAATCAGCCAACTGGCATTGCTCAGGGGTTGTGCATCGATCTATGAACTAGGAGGTGAGGTTTGATTACCAGTCAGGGCACATGCCCAGGTTGTAGGCTCGATCCCCTGTGTGGGGCGTGCAGGAGGCAGCCAGTCAGTGATTCTCTCTCATCATGGATGTTTCTATCTCTCTCCCTCTCCTTTCATCTCTGTAATCAATAAAAATATATTTACATAAAAATTAAATAAATAAGAATCCGTTTTGTTCCCCAAATCGGAGGAATAACACACCTATTGTCCACTAACGGTGAAGACAGAGACCCGGGACGAGGGGGAGAGACCTTCCTGAGGAACAAGGGCACTGAGGGGAGGAGGGACTCAGAGGCGCGTTCCCAGGCCGCTGGGGTGGATGCTGTTGCAAGAAAGGGGAGTTGACCAGGGGCGGGGATAGGAAGAGAACCACACTCTGGGGCCAGAGGGGGAGACCTGTTTCCTTCTCTTATTTCCCTGCATCTCCCCTCTGCTCATTGTCACAGTGACATTGCCCTGAGTTGCACAGTTGGAGGGTGAGCTTGTCCCTGCTGATCTGAGCTCTAGTTTAAGTGTAAAGTTAGATTTTTATTTAAAATTTTTAAAAATGTTTTTGTTAATTTGAGAGAGAGAGGAAGGGAGACGGAGAGGGAGATAGAAACATTGGTTGACTGCTTCTTGCATGGCCCTATTGGGGGATTGAGCCCACAACCCATGCATGTGCCCTGACCAGGAATCAATCCAGCTACCTCTTGATGCATAGGACTATGTGCCAACTGTGCCACACCGGCCAGGCTGTAAAGTTAGATTCTTTACATCAATTTTTAAAAATATATATTTTATTGATTTCAGAGAGGAAGGGAGAGGGAGAGATAGAAACATCAATGATGAGAGAATCATTGATTGGCTGCCTCCTGCATGCCCCACAATGGGATCAAGTCCATAACCTGGGCATGTGCCCTTGATGGAATTGAACCTGGAACCCTTCAGTCTGCAGGCTGACACTCTATCCACTGAACCAAACTGGCTAGGGCTATATTATTATTTTGTTTCTTGAGGTAGACCTATGTAACTATGAACTTTCCTTTTAAAACTGCTTTTGTTGCATCCCATAAATTTTGAAAAGTTCTGTTTTTGTTTTCATTTGTCTCAAGGAAGTTTTTGATTTCCTGTTATACTTCCTCTTTAATCCACTGGTTGTTTAGTAGCATATTGTTTAGTCTCCACGTATTTGTATTTTTTCCCAACTTTTCTCCCTATAGTTGATTTCTAGTTTCATACCATTGTAGTCAGTAAAGATGCTTGATACAATTTTAATCTTCTTGAATTTATTGAGGCTTGTTTTGTGGCCTAATATGTAATTTATCCTGGAGAATGTCCCACGTGTACTTGTTTATTCTGCAGTTTTTAGATGAAATGTTCTATCAATATCTATTAAATTGGTCTGACCTAATGTGACATTTAAGGCCATTATTTCCTTATTAATTTTGTTTGGATGATTTATCCATGGATGTAAATAGGGTATTTACTGTGATTTTCTCCCTTTATGTAATTACCTGCTACTATTTGGTTGTTGTAATTTACCATTGTTATATTCTTATTGATCCCTTTATAGTTATGTAATGTCATTTTTTTGCATTCTTTGTTTTAAAGTCTATTTTGTCCAATATGAGTATTGCTACACCAGCTTCCTATTTGCATAGAATATTTTTTCCATCCTTTCAGTCCAGTCTATGTCTTTCAATTTTATTTTTGTCTTTATTATTAAAAGTATTACAGATGTCGCCTCCCCCACCATTGACTCCCTCCACCGGACCCGTCCCCACCTCTCCCCTCCAAGCCTTCACCACACTATTGTCTGTGCCCAGGGGTTATACATATATACATACAATTCTTTGGTTAATCTCTTCCCCCAACTCCTGCCTTGCCTCTGAGATTCCAGTCTGTCCCATGCTTCTATGTCTCTGGATCTATTTTGTTCATCAGATGCCACATATGGATGAGATCATGTGATACTTGTCTTTCTCTGATTGGCTTATTTCACTTAGCATAGCACTCTCCAGGTCCCTCCATGCTGTCTCCAAGGGTAAGAGAGCCTTCTTTTTCACTCCACAGTAGAATGTGAGGCCTATGGCTCTGTGCCATTTCAGTTCTACCAAATGCTTAGGGATTTTAAGGGACTACCAACATCTCATTCCATATGCCAAGAAACTCATGCTTCAGACTATAAAACAACCTATTTTGGAGTTAAGGGCATCAGGTGACCTGGATAACCATGGGACCACCACTTTGCCACAGGGTCTCCCTGTTCCTGACCTTCAGTCCTCGGGGAAGCCTGCATTAGGGACTCTGCTCTGACTGTCCATCTATGGGTAGCAGTTAGCGCCAGCAGGATGCTTCTTAGGAGTTACATTCAGTGATGTATTATTAAGGTCATGTATTTTTTTTAAATTAAATCTTTATTGTTCAGATTATTACATTGGTTCCTCTTTTTTCCCACCATAACTCACCTCCACCCAGTTCCCATCCCACCCTCCGCCCTCACTCCCCACCCACTGTCCTCATCCATAGGTGTAAGATTTTTGTCCAATCTCTTCCTGCACCCCCCACACCCCTTTCCCCCCCCCAAGAATAGTCAGTCCATTCCCTTTCTATGTCCCTGATTCTATTACAATCACCAGTTCATACTGTTCATCAGATTATTTATTCACTTGATTTTTAGATTCACTTGTTGATAGATGTGTATTTGTTGTTCATAATTTGTATCTTTACCTTTTTCTTCTTCTTCCTCTTCTTAAAGGATACCTTTCAGCATTTCATATAATACTGGTTTGGTGGTGATGAACTCCTTTAGCTTTTCCTTATCTGTGAAGCTCTTTATCTGACCTTCAATTCTGAATGATAGCTTTGCTGGATAAAGTAATCTTGGTTGTAGGTTCTTGCTATTCATCACTTTGAATATTTCTTGCCACTCCCTTCTGGCCTGCAAAGTTTCTGTTGAGAAATCAGCTGACAGTCGTATGGGTACTCCCTTATAGGTAACTGACTTTTTTTCTCTTGCTGCTTTTAAGATTCTCTCTTTGTCTTTTGCTCTTGGCATTTTAATTATGATGTGTCTTGGTGTGGTCCTCTTTGGATTCCTTTTGTTTGGGGTTCTCTGCGCTTCCTGGACTTGGAAGTCTATTTCTTTCACCAAGTAGGGGAAGTTTTCTGTCATTATTTCTTCAAATAGGTTTTCAATATCTTGCCCTCTCTCTTCTTCTGGCACCCCTATAATTCGGATGTTGGTACGCTTGAAGCTGTCCCAGAGGCTCCTTACACTATCTTAGTATTTTCGGATTCTTTTTTCATTTTGCTTTTCCGGTTGGGTGTTTTTTGCTTCTTCGCATTTCAAATCTTTGACTTGATTCTTGCGCTCCTCTGGTCTGCTATTGGGTGTAATATTCTTTATTTCAGAGCATGTATGCTTAATTTCTAGTTTCTTTATCATAGCATCGAGGGTCTCATTAGTTTTCGTGAAGCTCTCCAAAAGTTTATTGCAAGCCCTCAAAATTGCGTTTTTTAGCTCTATATCCTCCATTTCTGTCATGTTTTTTTGTCTCCGCATTTTTTATGCTTTCTTGGTGCACCCCCTAGTGGTCTTTGTGCGCAGTCTTGTTCTAGTTGAGCCTTGATTGTTGTAGTTAATACTAGAGGGATTTGACCACCAGGCCGACTGGCTGTGTGAATCAGCTGTGTCTGCCGCGGAAAACTTCTGTCCTCTGGGGAGGTGCTAATCTAGCCTTTGCCTGAGGCGATCTGGCAAATGGCTCTGCGCAGGGCTTGGGCGGGGCGGGCTCAACAGGGCGGGCGGAGGGAGCGGTTATGGCCCCTCTCAGTCCCGTTCCCAGAGGCTCTGCTTCTCAGAACCCCAGGAACCGCTGCAAACCTCGGAGGGAAAGCTGCCTTCCAACTGATGCCAGACACTCCCGCTTCTCCCGTTTGAGTCCGAGTCCCCAGCGATTCGCCCGTATCTGGAGCTCAGAGTCTGAGACTCCCCCCTGACCGAAAACGACAACCGCGCTCTCAGCCACCAGCCCGCTTTGCGCGCGCACCTCCGCACCTGAGTATTTTCCACACTGCGCCTCCTCTGAGCCTCGGTGTGCTGTTATTTTTCCTTCTAGTTGAAGAGTCTCTCCTCAGCCAGCCTTCCTGTGGTTCTGGGTGATGTCCGTTCCGTCTTTTAGTTGTATTTTTGAAGTGGTTGTTTGCGGCAGCAGTCTGCGGTGTTTACCTATCGACATTTGGATTTTTAAAAGTGACCCAGGTGATTCCCATGTAATGATAGGTTTGGGGATGAATACTAACCACATGCAACAAAGAAATGGATTTGGTCTTTGCTCATAGTACTATCACACATAAACTCAGAGCCTGAGACTCCCTCCCGATTGAAAACGACAACTGCACCCTCTGCCGCCAGCCCACTCCGCATGCACTCTGCACCTTAGTATTTTACTTCCGCACTGCGCCTCCTCTGAGTCTCGGTATGCTTTTCTCTTTCCTTCTAGTTGTAGAATTTCCACTCAGCCAGCCTTCCTGTGGTTCTGGATGATGTCCTTTCCGTCTTTTAGTTGTATTTTTGAAGTGGTTGTTCGAGACAGCAATTTCCAGTGTTTACCTATGCCGCCATCTTGGTTCTCCTTCCTTTCTTCTTCTTTCTAAGGTCATGTATTATTAAGGTCACACATGAATTATGTGCACTTACAGGTCGAGATAAATTATGCCAATATAGGAGCATCAAAATTATTGTGCCTTCTCTATATCCTCTTCCTACCTCCAAAAGAAATGTCAGACATGATGTGACAAATCTGAAAGGATGTACCAAGAGTTCCCCAAAACGTCTTCAAGCCATTAGAGAATGTCCTTTTAGGTCATTGCTATTCAAACACATAAGCAGCCAATCGATGGGAATAGCATACAGCTAGGTGGGGGAATTCTGAGTTTGGGGTTGTGACTAAACTAAAATACCATGTATTTCTCACCAGTGTTGGTGACAGTCTCCCATACATTCTAATGTGCCATGCTAAGAGGGGTTCAGTGTTGCTGGAACAACCAAATAGGTATGAACAAAGCTCTTCACTGATATGCCTCAGGCTTTAGATCAGGTGCAGGCTGTCTCGAATTAGCCAGGACCACAAATTTCCGCCAGGACTTCTTCTCTGGCTCATCTCAAGATCCCTAGCGAGATCAATATTTGCTTCGGAAAAATATGCAAAGAGGATGATCTCATTACTAAATAACTTAGCAGCCAATGGGGAGGAGTGTAACTCAACTCCAGAGATGTCACAAGGAACTGAGAGAATAAAAGGTGCCTGGAGCCTGCACCGACCCATCTGTACACCTTGATGGGACCCCTGGAGAAAGGTGTGCCACTGCCCCAGCCCCACGCCACCTTCCCTTTGTAGCGTGTGAATGACTCACAATCTGTGGCGTCATCTCCTAAAGCCTCCAGAGTATGTAAGCATGAGTATCCGATGGAATATGCTACTTAACTAGAAATGTGCTTAACACAGAGCATCACCTGGCACAGGCTTGCTTCTATTTCTCGTATTTATTAAAGGGCAAATTAAATTTCTTCATTGCCCAAATTGAACCTAATTTACAACCACTTAAAATGGTGGAATCCCCCTGGGTCATGAAAAAACAAAACCCTCTTGTTTTTCTGGTTATTTGGGTCATTTGAACAAAGACGCATCCTCACCGCCGTGAGCCCAATGCTGGTTTTGAGCTGTGAACACAGCAAGGAGCAGGGCAGCACTGCCCTGCCAGGTTTCTGTCTCATTTCAATGTGGCCCACTGTCCTTTCCAGCCCAAGCAACCCTTCCTGAAGACTATTCAAGCAACACCAAGAACAATGTGAAATCACACTTTGCATTTAAGGAACACACGAAATGTGCATCTGAATGGTTTTTAAAATTTTGTTTTTAATTCATCCCCACTCCATATGCAGTCTAAAAGACGGTTCAAAGACATCTGCTGGTTTCTAGACCACCTGTTTGAGATTACTGGATTTGACACATTTCTTTTTCTCGAGTGGTGATGGCCCCTTCTGCTTGTTTGCTCAAATCCACACTCTTGCCTGTTCCCCCGGGGGGCACATACACACTTGGGACAGTCGCTGGGCTAATCTCATTTTGGACACTTTTATGTTTGCTAACTGGCCTTTTTAGGTCAAATCTCAATCGTGGGCTCACTGGAGTCATGCTCTAGTCAACAGAGCTATAAATGCTAAACAGTTAAGAGGCAAATAAGCAAAATCAACTTTTGCTTTTTATATTTTCTAGGTAAGATTTGGGGCTTTAAAAAGAAGTATCTTATGAAAAAAGAAAAAAGTATAAGTGAGCATTTAAAAAGGATTTTTGTTACCAACAAAAGAGAAACACAATTTAATTCCATTTGTTCCATGGAGAAGAAAACAGGTATAAAAGGAAGTGACTTTATATTTAGATTTAACATGGGTCCTAACCTAATAATAAAACTATTTTGTTAAAACCACAATAAAAATTAAAACTAATCTAAAATATAATTGCAGTGTTCTTTAGGATTTGAGAGAAATGTTGCAGGGTGAAGCGAATGTTCCCTTGGGTTGCCAAATGCATTCCGAAGAGTGTTTCCTAGGTGGTGGGAATAGAAGGCCAGTGTCAATCTTGTTTATCCATAAGGACTAACCTTCAACTACACATACAGATTTAAGACTTGCCCTACCGCAATGTCCAAGTATCGGAAATTGTAAGCTAGATGTACCTGCATGGGAAGTTTTTTTCACAACTCACCAGAATAAAGAAGCTCTCAGAAAAGGAAAAAAAAAAGCCACTGTGTGGCAACCTGCAAGGAAAACCCTAATGTAGAAGAACAACTACTTATTTTTTTTCAACCGCAGAGTTTGTTTTTGAAAATTCACCTACTGCCCTGGCCAGTGTGGCTCAGTTGGTTGAGCGTCGTCCCCTGCACCGAAAGGTGGTGGGTTCGATCAATTCCTGGTCCATGCATGTCTGGGAGGCAACTGATGGATGTTTCTCTCTCTCTCAAAAAAAAAAAAAATCAATAAAGACATACCCTCAAGTGAGGATTGAAAAAAAATTCAGCTACTTAATAGTAAAAAGTCAAGGTTTTTGTTTGTTTTACATGAGAAAGGAGTGTAAATAAGTTCATAAACCAGTATACAAATGTTTATGAGCCAGTAAATTTAAAAAGACAACAAAGAAAGCTGCATGGATCCTAAGAGGATATGTGATACATCCCCTCCAGTCAGAGGTATTGTGAGAACAGTCTACGTCCCTCAGAGCGGGCAGCATGGAATCAGGTGCTGCACAGTGGCGATGCCGGCAGGCAGCACTGCGCTCAGTTATTCCCTAAAAGGAATAGAGGAAGGAAAACAAGCGCAGTTCTGATTGCTCTTTTCACATTTCAGCCTCTCAGAACTCCATCCCAAACAGAGAGAGACCGTGAAGAAGCCCTCTGCCGCGGTCCCTGCGGGAGAGTTGGGAGTGGCAGGGTTCCTGCTGAGGGCGGGCTGGGCGTGGGAGAAACCCACTGCCACAGGTGGCCGCTCACAGGGGCTGGGCTACGACAGCAAGCAAGTGGCCCTGAGGCCTTGAGGTCCTGGCTTTCCAGTCTGTGACGCGGCTGTGGGCCTGCGGGGCACCGACCCTTCTACTGTGGGTTCTGTTGGTTAAAAACACAACAGTTGCATTTGCAGCACTTCAGTTATTTAAAAACAACAACTTCATCCTCCTTTCCCTCATCCAACTGTAAGAAAGGAGAAATTCATTAAGCATTTATTTTCAGGTTTCTGAATTGCTATTAAAATTCAATTAAATGTAAAACCTAATAGCCCCAAATTGTTAGGATTATCTCAAGGGACCCTGAATTGGGCAGTGAAAGTTGACATCAACTGAAATGAGCTGGACTTCCGCTGTTGGCTGTCTCCAGGCCGGCAGCCGTCTGTTGTCCCCCCCGGAGTGGTCCCTGCCACCCCTTGGTGAGAGCGCTGGGCAGCAGCAGGGTGTGGTCTGGGGGAAGCTACTGGTTTTGCCTGTTGCTTCCAGAATCACAGAGACTATGATGAACTTGACATTGAACACTGCTGAGTCCTGAGTTGGGGAAAGCCCGTGGAGGAGGGCCGAGTTCAGAGGCTCTTCCCTCCTTTGCCTGGTGTCATACATGGCCCCTGGCTCTCTCTTCTTCCACTGCTTGACTTCCTGTTTCTTTTTCATTGGTGACCCCTCCTAAAGTCTTGCCCGTTGCTTTACTGGCCTCTTCCTGAGGAAGAAAGAGTGGAATGCTCAGTTAGCTCCTGGCCTGCAGACCATCTGTCCGCTCTAATGGGAGAGGGCAGCACAGGACTACTCAGGCTTCCCAGCTGCCCACGGAGTGGGAGTGGTTACTTGTCTTCAGTTAAAATGACCAGCTTTCCACTGTTTGATAACCAGGTCCCTGTGGCAAGCTGGAGGGGAAGGTGAGCTCAGGAGCAGAACGCAGCCTGCAGCCGGGGAGCAGGCCTCTCTCACCCCGTGCCAGGCTGGCTCCCGAGCCTCCAAGTAGAGGGCATGCGGTGGGCAGCCCCACCACAGCCCATTTCCTGGCAAACAGAGGTCTCAACATGGAGGTATTACCTGGAAAAAACCTGATGTGCTTGATTTTCTTAAAAAGAATAAAAGCTTTAGTACATGTCTAGGCAGTCGCTTTGCCTCAGCTCCTGCATGGACAGGCCAGTGCCTCTACTACGGGCCCTGGTGAGCAGAGCAGCCCCACGCTCCCTCTGGACCAGCCCAGCCTCTCAGCTCAGAACCTGTTTCCTTGGGCTATGCCTGGGTGTGGAGCTGTCCCGAGACTCTAAATCAAAGGGCAAGGTCAGTTCCGATCTCCCCGACGGCCAGTGCGCCCCGCACACACCTTGGCGTCCTGCTCCGCAAACTTGGCGAACATGTTGGCGTAGATTCTGCGGTCCCGCTCGTTGTGCTCCTTCGCCTTTTTCTGGCACATGGAGATCTGCAGCCGCGCGGCCTTGTTCTGGGGGTTGACTGCCAGCACCTTCTCGAAGTCGCCCTTGGCTGACTCGAACTCGTTCATGAGCAGCTGGGCCTCACCCCTCCGATACAAGCCCTTCTCATTGGCACTGTCTAGTCCCAGGGCCTGGAACACAAAGTGTATGTTTCAGAAAGAATGAGTGTGACTTGTGGGACTTTGAAAGAAACTCAGTATTTAAATAACTTACTAAAGCTCTCTAGCCAGGGAATTAGAAAAAGTGTATTGAAAAGATGTGCTCAAGGTTATTACATACTACTGATCAAAACAACTAATTACCCAAACCAATTCCTGTGTTTAATACAATTTCTCTAAAGACCCCAAAGGATTTGGAAGGGGGATCTTGAGAAGTTCGTTTTACAGTTCAATTGAAAGGAGTAAATGACCAAGAATAGCTGAGAACATTTTGGATAAACAAAAATAATAAGAGGAGAATTGCCTTACCTGAGAAAAAGATATACTACCAACTACTGACATTAAAACAGTTTGGTTAGTAGTCCGTGAACAAACAGGTCAGTGGAGCAGAACAAAGCAAGACAGACTATGTAAATCAGTAAGGAAAGGGTTAACTTGACACAAAAAAAAATGGGGTCAAAGCAGTAGTTATCCATGTAGAAAATAAGACTTAATTCTTACCTCACATCATAAACACAAAAATAAGTTCTAAATCAAGTATATTTACATGCACTGCCCAATAAAAATAATAGATTTTTAAAATTATTTTTTTAAAAAGTAAACCTAGTTGGAGTAGGTATTGCAAGTACTGAATGGGGTTATTTTTATACTCTTAGGGTGGGGAAGACTTCTAACCAGAAAGGAAAAGACAGATTTGATTCCGTCAACATTAAAACTTTCTTTATGGAAAAAGATGCCATGTCAAGTTAAAAGACAAGTAAGGAGAATGGGGTCCTAGTGTCCCTACTGCCAGACAAAGCGTTCAGAGTCATAATGTATAGATTGTCTCAATCAACTGAAAACAGACCAATAATGCAGTCGAAGGTGGTGAACAGGCAATCACAGAAGTAAAACAATGAAAATAATGTGCAATAAGAAATGAAAAAAATTTGTCAGTTGAGGAAAAAACTACTGATAATCTTCAATAATAATATATATTTAAATTTAAAATGTTACTGTATTAAAATTATTGTCTTTGACCCAGTATTTCCACTTCTAGGAATTTATCCTATAGAAACAATCCCACAAGTATGCAAAGAGAGACACCACGTAATCTGTAACATCACAACCTGGATATCTACCAAAAGGGATGGTGAGATAAACCACAGATGCGTGCAATGGATCCTCAATAGATATTTAAAAGACTGAAGGAGAGTTATATGACAGATTGATAATATGCAGAAAAATGTCCTCGTTTTATAAAATTATATGTCTAAATCTACACATTCTAATTTTTAAAAGAACTTATACATATATGTTACTCTACACTGTATGGAAAAAACAGAAGGAATATGTGTGAGATCAATGAGTGGTTTTGGGAGAGATGGTCAACTGGAATCTTATAAATGAACTTTTACTTTCTTGTATGGTTTGTAATTTTTGAACTTGAATAACTTTATACTACTATAATAAAAAATAAAAAATAAAAAGCTTAAAATGTAATTAACAGTAACATTTTTTCTTAGGCAAAAATTGAGTAAAACATGATAGGAATATATTAATCCACAAAACTCAAGATCTTAAAATTCAAAAATAATCTTACAAAGAATATATGAAATTGTTGCTTGTTTTTCTTATCCCTGTTTATCTTTCAGATACAATTGATTGTTAGCTTTTACCCATAGCATAACACACACTGTTGGCTCTGAGACCAGATACCTGCCCTAACAGTCAGCATCACATACATGTGCATAAGAACACCAGAATCACGCTTCCGACAGACAACTTCACGAACACCTGGGTTCACAGCCCAGGAACAGTATTAATAACACAAATGTAAAAGGGAGAGGGCTCCTGATGCTCGGTGGGTCTTTCACACTATTTATATGTATTCCTAATTAGGGAATAAATATGATGATAACAGTGACTTCCTTATATATCCTCAGTATGAGCAGTTTTATTAAAGTCCTGAAAGGCTTAAGTCACATCTGTTCTTATTAAATTGAACCTGAGGAATTATATGATACCAAGTTATAATCTGATACCAAGTGGTATTAATTTAAGGAAGGTCATGGATAAAATTGTTTCTTATCGAAACTTTTATTTATAATGCATTATTATAAACTAGAGGCCTGGTGCATGAATTCACGCACAGGTGGGGTCCCTTGGCCTGGCTGGTGATGCGGCCAATTGAGGCAGTGGGAGGTTGGCCAGCAGTGGGGGTAAAGGAGCCGAGGGAGGTTGGCTGGCCGGGGGGAGGGACTGCGGTAGGTTGGCCAGCTGCTCCTGATCAGGGTCAACTGGGGCCAGGTGGCTGGGGGGAGGGACTGCACCAATCTGGGCGTGGGAGCATACTGATCACCAGGGGGACAGCTCCTGCATTGAGCATCTGCCCCCTGGTGGTCGGTGTGTGTCATAGCGACTGGTCGTTCAGTCGCTTAGGCTTTTATATATATAGATAGTCTAGGCATCAGAAAAGTCTTTAATCAAAACCTTTCTGAATTTCCCAGTTCATACTGAGAAAAAAATCCCAAACGAAAAAAATAAAGCCAAATGAAAAACCCTCAACCCTTGGCGAGCAGCAGCGAAGGCAGACCAGGGATGAGGCTGGAGAGATGTGTGGCCTCTGCAGTCCGGCCTCGCAGACGCTACCTTATCGCAGCACTCCACAGCTTTGGTGTATTCTCGGAGCTTCAGGTAGCACATGGCCAGGTTCAGGAAGGCAGCGAGCAGGAACGACTCGGAAGCTTTCGATTCCTTTTCGGACAGGCCGTATTCCATCTCGAGCCAGGACACTATCTTCCCGTACTGAATGACCGCCTGCAGGTACTTGCCTCCCTAGGAGAGAAGAGCTGGGCATTACTCTTTACACAGGCTCTAGAGGGGCACACGAGAAGTGTAAGCCCAGGCCTCCCTGGGAATACCAAACCCTCTAAATGGAAACCTCCTCATACAAACCCTGGGATTTCATGATTTGTTTCTGTTCTCAGGGGTGGCTAGCCAGGCACTTTTCCATTCTCTCTGAAATCCAGTGACCAGTGAGCTGGTCAGGACAGAGGCTGCCCTGCACTTACCCTTGTCCTGTTCCAAGGGGGCAGTGCTCTCAGCGAGGAGGCAGCAAGGCATTGGGGTTGCATTCTGTGGTGCCGATATCTATCTATCTATCTATCTATCTATCTATCTATCTATCTATCTATCCATCCATCCATCCATCCACTTTCCAAAAGGCTGGTGCGTAGTTCCAGACCCTGTCACTAGGTTACTGAAGGGGAAGTGCCTTTTCCCGGGCTCCTGGGCGTCAGCACTGTGCACGAAATACATCCTGGCAAATCTAGTGACCTACACCAGGGCCGGCAAACTTTCTGCATGCACTCCACCCTCACTCACTGAGAGAAATCACAGAGGTCTACAAGACCGTCCCTGCTACAAAGGACCTCAAGGGGTTGGCTTAAGAAATGAGCTCACCTGGAAGGAAGCCCTGATGTCGATTTTGGGTGAGGATGAAGTAGACCAGTGCCAAGTGGAGTCTGGGTCTGAACGAGGCCAAAGCTGCACCCCACTGAGCACCCCTCTTCAGAGGGAGCTTAGGAAAGGGGCGACAGAGAGCTCCCCGTTCCACTTGACAAAGGCAGTGCTGAAGGACTGAGGTTTCTGAAGGAGGCTACTAAAGTTAGTCTGTTTCTTCTCCACCTCAGAAATTTGTGATACAGGTTGGAAGAATATGAAACCAGGCCCTTTCAGAGTAAATGCTGAAATTCTTGAGGAAATCATATTGTACTTCCTATGGACTGAGCTGAACCCCTCCCAATTCATACACCGAAGCCCTGCCCCCAATGTACTGTTTTTGGAGATGGGACCTTTGGGAGGCAATCAGGTTGAGGGGAGCCTTGTAGGGGGTGTCCACCAGATAGAATTAGTTCCCTGCTTCCTCTCTCCCCAGCCACAGCAGCTAGGGAAAGTCACGTGAGGACATAGCAAGAAGGATGCCTTCTGCGACCCAAGACCCTGCTGGCACCCTGGCCTTGGACTGCCATCTCCAGAACTGTGAGGAAGGAATTCCTATTGTTCAAGTCCAGTCTCGGGCGTTTCACTGTGGCAGCCGAGGTAACTAAGACATAGTTAGTTAGGTGCGCCTTTTTGGGCACCAGGTGAAGCAGCCCTCCCAGTGACAGGGTTGGCGTTTTCTCTCTGTCACCCTCTCCTGCTGGACCGGGAGCTCTTCGAGGACAGGAAGCATGTTCCAACCCTTTTGGAGTATTGAGGGTTTAGCACGAACAGGCCCTTAATGAAGATTTGCTGACTAATATTAAGGTCAAGGAATATAATTATGGAATCCAAAGATCTTCTATCATTGGGGGCAATGTGGAGGTGGGTAGAAATGAAGGGTGTCAGTGTCATTTCATTTAGATCAGGTAAGGACATTTTCCCATATGCCTAGTTTCTTCTTCCTCTTTCCTCCTTCACTAATGCACCTATTAAGTTCTAATTACCTCCTCATATATTGTTATAGGAAAAGAAAAGGAGAGCCAGGGAGGACAAAGACCAGATCTTATAACTTCGGTGGGTTTGGTATAATCAGAATGGTAGAAGTCTACAGTTTCTAAAAAGAAAAACAAGTAATAGACTTCATAGTAGTTCCTTTACATTGAAAGAGCATTTTAATTTCTTGAAAGCTCTTTCATATATATCATAATCATACATAATTTTATTTAGATCACTTCTAACGAGCACAGTACAGGTAATTTGTTTTGTGGTACTTCTGCTCCTGATGTGCTAACAGGAGTTCTTTACTGGGGTGACTGTGGCCTCCGGGACATTTGGCAATGTTTGGAGATGTCCTTTAGTCGTCATGTACTAGTGGCATCTAGTGGGTAGAGGCAAGGAATGCTGCTAAATAACTTATAATGCCACGGCAGTCTCCCACTAACACAGAATCATTTGGCCCCAAATATCAATAGTGCTAAGGCTGAGAAATCCTGCAGTAAAAGAATGCAGAAGGAGCCCTGGCCAGTGTGGCTCGGTTGGTTGGAGCATCGTCCCTTGCACCAAAAGGCGGCAGGTTCAATTCCCAGGCAGGGCACATACCCAGGTTGCGGGTTTTATTTCTGGTTGGGGTGCCTCTGGGAGGTAACTGATCAATGTTTCTCTCTCACATAGATGTTTGTCAGTCTCCCTGACCCCCGCCCCCCTTGAAATCAATTTTTAAAAAATGGAGGAGAAAAAAGCAGGGTTGACTCATAAATGGCTTGTTTCTAAATCATAGCACTGGTTTCTTGGTTCAGGAAGGGTGGTCAAAACATAGTAAAGCCTGTTCGTCTGAAAAGGGTTCCGTGGTTGAAAGATGATCCTTAACTAGCTTGCTTGGGAAATGCCTTTTCCCCACAGAGCACAAGGGGGCGCTCCATGTCACTGCTGGGTCCTCAGCCTTCTCGCCACCACATGGTCAGAAGAGAGAAACACTAAGCACGTGTGATAGTGAAGGCTTTGTCCTGCAGATTGCTGCCAGCAAGAGGGAGGAAATGAAAACCATTTCTGTTTCCCTCAGGTGCACAGCGCCTGGTATGATGTCACATTTTACCGAGGCTTAATTATGTTTAGAGCCACGTGAAAAGAGTCCTCTCCTACCTTTCTTCCCTTCAGTGTTCAGAGGCTGATAGGAGGAATGTACAATCTACGCAGCAAAATCATTCCTATTTAGCTAACCAAAATCCAACCCTCCTAAAGAGAGAGATTTACGCACTAAAGTGTAAACCAAATCGCAGATCAATGGAACTGGAGCTCCAATGTCCTGATGGCATGAAATGCACATTTTTATGTCACCATCTCTGCTGTCACCCAGTTTGGATGTCTCTGCCTGCATGTGCACAACGCTCCAAGTCAGTCCCCGGAAAGACGAGGCCCAGGAGGGCAGGGTGGAGGGCTGAAACCTGCCCTGAACTCTGAAAAGGGAATGTGGACAGGAAACGACCCACCGACCGGTTTGAGGGCTTAGAGCTAAAAGTAGGCTCACTGCCGGGATCTTTTACCTCTAATTAGGAAGGTGCCTCTGGGGAAGTGTTCAGAAGTACAAAATGTTCAGAGACATTCTGGGAGAAAGGCTTAGGTCAGTGGTTTTGAACCTTTCATTAATTTTCCCCCAATAGCCTAGTGTTTTGAAAGATTTCGTCTGTCAAATTGCATGTTAAAAATAATATGTTCCATATGTGTGACTGCTGATCCAGATTTTATTCAAAGATCAGTAATTTTAAGAGGGTTCATAATATTATGAAACACACAAATCACTACTGCAGTTGTGGTGCTAAGAAGCAACCAAGTTCAGTAACTGTATAGACACCTAAGCAATGCTTTTTGCTACTGATCACAAATTCTGGCATCTCTCTGTATATATATTCGGGACACAGCCATATGGCCTGTGGCTTTGCAGCATTACTTCATTATCAGTAATGTTCCCCAAAGTTATGAGCCATCAGCAACCAATAGTTTCTGAATCGTCGAGCTGTTTTGCTACATTGAGTTGATATGATTCTAGTTAAATGCCAAGCGCCTCAACCCCCTGCCCCAACTATTAATGTTCTATTTAGAAGTTTGGGAAATATAAAAACATACATTTAAGGACTTTAATGGACTCGAGGTATATAGGAAACACCATCCAGGACCTGTGGTCTAAAGGGATTTTTACAGAAAATTTTCTTTTTATTCTAGTGTACTGTGTATTTGGGTTTATAAAAAGCACACTTGGAATGAATAGTTTATAAGTATCCAGTATACATAATTGAATTAAAAAATCAAACTTGCTCTTGAGAGTTTAAAAATTTATAGGATTTTAGGGCTGGAAGAAACTTAGGGATCATCTAATCTAACTCCCTCAACTGAAAAAATAACCTCTTTAGAATTTAAATGACTTTAAATCATTTGGAATCATAAAGCCCAGTTTCCAATTCAGAGCTAATTTCATCACTGTTTTCTGGTGATCCATACAGTATATATAATAAGTGTTAAAAGTAAATATAAATAATTATGTATTATGTAAGCCAACATGTTTCAACTTTATTTAACCAAAACCCATAGTAAAAAATAAGTCTTAAAAAAGTCTTAAATTATGATCCACTACCCATTCATACACAAGTAAACAAAAGATTTATAAAACATTTATCCTTAGTACATAATGCAATATACATTTCCACAATACTGATTTCATGATCTAGTAATGGGTTTCCTATCCAAGTTTGGAAAACAATAGCCATGCATGCTGCTCCTGGGCGCATTCACTCTGCTTACGCAGGCTCACATAATTCTCCAGGCGTTTCATGTGAGTGCACGTCGCCTCCACTCCCTCCAGACAAGGCTGTCAACCAACAGCGTATCTTAGAAGCAATGCTCCACAAGGATTTGCTGAATCACAGGTGTGCATTGCTGCTGTAGACTGTTGAAAACAGCATCTGATTTTTGTTCTTGGATTGCAGTGGCAAGAAAAAAAGAAAGAAGGAAGCCTAACAACATTGCCCTTCTTCTCTAACTGCTCACTAAGCCCTTCGCGGATACAGAGAAGGTCCATGTTGGAGTGGGAAGCACTAAGGTGCACTGATTAGAACTGAACAGAGTGTTGTTTCTTTTTTGTCTTCAATCTGGGGGTTTAAGATCTAACTGAGGAAATCACATCTTCCTAGGTGTTACAAGAAATGGTTTTCGAGAAGCAATCAATGACAAAGATCATTCACAAAAGTAGGTGTATGGCCATCAGAAGAAATGAATCATCTCCTATCAGTTTCTTTAAAAAAAATATTTTTATTGATTTCAGAGAGAAAGGGAAAGGGAGAGATAAAAACATCAATGATGAGAGAATCATTGATTGGCTGTTTCCTGTACGCCCCCTACTGGGGATCGAGCCCGCAACCCAGGCATGTGCCCTTGACAGGAATCGAACCCTTCAGTCTGCAGGCTGGCACTCTATCCACTCAGCCAAACCAGCCAGGGCTCAATTAGTTTCTTTTGAAATCTGTGCCTGTTCTCTTTCTTTTGTCACGTGCCTTAGTGACTCCACCAAGACAGTGGAAAGGAAAATGATGTGAAACTTACCCTTATGAATTCCATTACAGCTAACAATTATTTTATTCTTTCTTTGTTTCATCCCACAGACACTCATTGAGTGCCAACTATGAACTAAAGCAAGATGCCTCACGTCTGCAGTGAGTGATCCAGTAGTGGTGGCTGGGCATGCCACCCTGGTATTTCTTCAGGGAGGGTTACAATCTAGAGTAGACCATGCAAAAGGGGTATCTGTGCCCTGGCCATGTGGCTCAGTTGGTAGGAGCATTGTCCTATACACCAAAAGGTTGTGGGTTCAATTCCCGTCAAGACACATACCTAGGTTGTGGGTTCAGTCCCCGGCTGGGGTACAAACAAGAGGCAACCGACGGATGTTTCTCTCTCACATTGGTGTTTCTCTCTCTCTAAAAATTAATAAGTATATCCTTGGTGAGGATTTAAGAAAAAAAAAAAGAGGCATTTGTATTCTTTTGTCACCTTAATTCATTCTTTCTCACTATTTTTTTATACTGTAAACGATAGACCTGTAAAAATTCAGGCTTACTCTTATCCAGAGGGGTGTTGATAAAATTCAGAGCAGGGAATACCAGCACAGTTCATTAACCTCTGAGTGAGTTCTCTGAGACAGAAACTCACATACCTTGAAGTACACAGTTCCCTTTTCCTTGACGATGGCAGCCTGCTCCAATTTTTCTTTGGTATCCATCTCCCAGGATTCTTTGGCCTGTTACGTAAATATGTGACAATGGTTAGGTGAACAGAGAAGGAAAAGGCGTCAGCTGATGCCCATAGAACAAGCAGTAGCTCCTTGTAGAGGCCACCCACACCTCAAACACACTGTCTTTTAAAACTCTGCCACCACCAAAGTGAGTTCTAGTCACTGCCAGGCTAGAACTGGCTTTCCAATGACAGCTGCGCGGGACCCCGCTGCCCAGGAGGAGACTGCAGCAGAGCGCGTCTGGAGAGGCGTGAGATGAGGCCACACAACGGAAGCTAGGGTCCCTATTTCCCTCCCATAAACGGCACCACTCAGTTGCCATTATGACTTGGAGCTGTTTCTCTCAGGCCTTGGTTTTCAACTCTAAAATGGGAACACTATTGCAGGCAAGTCACAGTTGTATATTCATGATAATTTTTTAAATCCAGGCCATGTAGTTGTCTTTTCCACTCTAACGCAACCAGATATATAAAGCTTCCACACTGTATCCACCTGCAGATGTGTCCTTGGGGAATTTCAAGCAAAACATAATTGGGAGGGTAAAGCTGATGTAAAAACTAATTTCAAAGCCATAGATAAACGATTTAATGATCATCTTGCTCATTTGTTTTATATGTCATTATTCTCCCTAATTAAAGGTACGAATCCAGAGACAACTGCACTTCCATTATGAACAACTGGATTTAGGAGGATCAGAGTCCACAGAACAATCTGGGGTCCTTCAGGGAAAACAAGGCTATGTCAGAGCCACTTGCTGTGTAGGAGTTATAAGCTTAAGTGGGTACCTGTAAAATTCTCTCTCTTTCAAGACACTTGGTGATGTATTCCTGGTGTTCCACTCCCACCTCTCCAAAGTAAATAATGAAAATTACTTGTCTTTCTGGCAACCCCATGTTGCTTCCCAACAAATTAGCTCTATCATTTAAAATCTAGAAACCAGGGTCCTTTGCGTTTTTCTATTAGGTTCAGTCTTTATGGAGTACTAAATGTCCTTAATACGAGGCAGAACATCAAATCGTGTTGCCTGCACAGCACACCCCTTCTTCACATGGTTTCAAATAAAGCAGGTTCATGGATACACCTGGGCGATGACAGACCCAGCTCACTGTGGGCAAAGGAGGGCCCTGGTGGGAAGGGACAGGGAGCTACTTCATTGAAATGGGAAGAGGAAAGTCAAACGCCTACATAACCATATGCAAGGGATGTTCTCTCTCTAGCAATGTGGAGGCAGAGCTGCAGGATCAGTGCTGAGCTAGCAGGCCATCTAAAGAGGTACTGTGACAAGAAGCAACGGTCAATGATGAGAACATGTCTGCTTTGAGGAACATGAGTGTGAGGTTTGATCAGCAGCATCACTGCTAGGGGAGAATCCCAAAGCAGGCCTCCCCTGCCTTTCTTAGCCCAAAACTCCAGGTCTACTGGACTGACAATGGTCTCCTTTCAGAATCTAGTGAAAAATAGTGTCGTGTTTCCAGTCCAAAGCTTAATGCACAGAAGCTGGAGGGAGCCCTGGAGCGTAAGAAAGGCACACCAAATGAGGGCTCTCGGGAGGGGTGGGCTCTGGTGACTGCTGCACAGGGACTCAGCTGGACTCCACAGAATGTCGAGCTTGGGCACATGCTCTGTGCTTGTCCGGCGAGGCTGCTGCTGGGAGCTTCCAGGGGCAGGGAGATGGAAATATACTCTAGAGGCCTGCTGTTTCTGCCCTCAAGGCCACTGACAAACTCTTCTTTTCTACTTGGACAGGTATGAAAAGAAAAGGCCTGGGGTTAGCAGGGTGTCCCTGTGTTCCTTGTCACAGAGCCTGGTGGCCCATGAAGCCTTGCATTTTTGGACAGTAACTTGGAGCCACGCTGAGGGCCTCTTCACCACTCCTGAGAAGGGTACAATCCGTTCAGCACTGGAAAACGGCGCCCCTCCTCCAAGGAGCGGCTTGGCAGAACGTGAACCTTTTTGTCTTCAACCCAGGAAAAAAAGTACAAAAAGAACAAGTCTAGGAACAAATAGGGAACAAGTGTTGGATTCTACCCAAAAAAGAAAAAAAGAAAAAAGAAAAAAAAGGGCTGACACATAGGAACACACTCTGAACACTGCGCTTCGGAGCTGTGGGTCAGCCATGCTGGCTTAGGGGTCCCAGACAACACAACATGCAAGTAAGACCACTGACCTACGCCACCCAGAAATACATTCTATAGTTCATAGGAAGTGGGCAGAGAAGAAATATACCATGATTTCAGAGAAGTTGGTATTTTCTCACCTTTTCGAAGCTCTTAAGTGTAACTTCATATATAAGCTCAGCATTAGGTTCAATGCCAAATTTAGGCTTCCCTGCCTCTCCAAAACCATATCTGAAATGGAGAGTAGAAAAATAAAACTTTATAAGAATTGGCGTATTTCCAGGCACTTCCTTTGGTACTTTGTGGCATCACATGAGCGCAGAGCTAGCATCTGCAAACTACACAGACTGGAGACCCTGAGGACAAGCCAGATGCTGATCAGAAGACCTGCCAGGTGCCCCTGCGGCTTCAGGAACCAGGCCAGACTGAGCCTCCTTCTTCTTCACATCCCCGTGCAATTGCGACACCTGTTCTCCCCGGGACAGCTTGCTTAATGTGGCCTTAATGTCACTGCCCTTTTCTCTGCTTGATTTTCTATTGAGTTCTTTTGATAAAACAGCCTTCATTTGGCTATTAGACCCTCCCCGAGGCCTCATCAGCAGGAGGGCGAGAAGACAGCACTGTTGTCACAGTGCTGTGCCCACAGCGCTGTGCATTAGAGGCTTTAAGAAGCTTTCAACTCTGAAGTGCTGTCTCCATCAAAAAGCACCACTTCCAGGCAGATGAACGGGAGGGAAGGCTCACATAGCAGGGGGAAAAATACATTTTCACAGTATTTATTCAATAGTTTTAAAGAGCACACTAGAAAACACAAGTGACATAACTAATATACCACCAAAAAGAACAGCCCTAGCAAGTTCTAACCCCCATAAAAGACATACTTTCCCCCTGGCTGGTGTGGCTCAGTTGGTTGAACGTCCCATATACTGAGGGGTTGCGGGTTTGATCCCCGGTCAGGGTGCATGCAGGAGGCAAACGATTGATGTTTCTCCCTCTCCCGCTCTAAAAATCAATGAAAACATACTTGGAAAAAAAGAAAAAGAGAGAAAGCAATATTCTTACAGGTCTGTGGCTCTTACTTTAAATGCTACAACTTTTAGCCAAAATCTATCTGGACAAAATCACTGCAGACATATAAATTTGATTTTCAGATCACATTAATAAATACAAGGCATTTGGGGAGGACACATCTGCCAGAATGAAGTGCTGACGGAGCTTCGTCTGTCTGGTTCAATGGTCTCTCCGGGTTTCGAACAACACCCAGCATATTAGGAAAGCATGCACTGGAATATATTCTGTTTTCATCTACTAGTATTTCAAGCCAGACTACTCTTTAATATATGGAAGAACATTGCGAAAACCTTAGTAAACCCAAATGTTCAGGCTATGGGTTGAAAGATGCCAAACCAGGTCGATGCCAATGAATTTTCTCTGGGGCAAAAGGACCAGAGTGGGAATATACAAATCCTGCTGCTTGCACTACTCTCTTTACCCCTTGCCTAAATTTTCCCGGAAGAAAATGATTACTCACTCACCTCCACTGTTACACAAGTAAATGAAAGCTGCAGCCAGAGCAAGGCCATGAGAGCTGGTAGGAATGGGGTGTGGTAGTCATAATAGCAGGGCAAAGGGTATCTTCAGCAAAGAAATAAGAGGACATAATTGCCAGTGGCCAATTATAGGAGGTGGTGACCAGTTCTCTACCTGAGCTCCTACCTAGACCTATGTAACTGCTATTGTGTTCCTGCCATCTGGTAAATAAAGAACATTCCGTAACTGCTGGGAACTGGGCTGGAGGGAGAGTCCTTGCTGAGCGTGTTTACCGACAGCATGTTATATTTGGAGCCCTGTGCTACACAGGTACAAATTCAACAGATGACCTGGCACGCGCCTCAGACCATTGGCTCTCAACAGGGGTGGATTTAATCCTCCCACCTCAGGGATATTTGGCAATGTCTGAAGATGGGTTTATCACACAGAGGAAGGGGGTATAGGCATCCAGTGGGTATAGGCCAGGGAAACTGGTGAACATCCTACTACTATGCACATGTCAGCCCCCACAACAAGAAACTTCCAGCCCAAGATGTCAGTGTGCTGAGGATGAGAAAAGCTGCCTTAGTGGAACTCATGGTGGGCAGAGTGGGGGTAGGGTCAAGGGAGACACCAAATTGTCCTGGTTTTTATCAGTGGGATTAAGGAAGACTGGGGAAGGGCATTATTCCTATAACCTCTCCTGGGTTCAGATGAAGAGATTCTGTGGCGATGCGTGTGGAGCCTGGGAGGAGCATTGAGTCTGACTGCCATGTTACACAGAAAGCTGTCTGCCTGACGCTACACCAGCCTGGCAGGCTAGGACCCCAGGCACAGAAACGCTTCTCCCTGAAGACAGACACCACAAATGGGATTCTAGGACTTAACCAACAGACAAGCTGGGCTACAGTAACAGAAGGAATTCGTTATTAATGTGTGTTTTTTCTTCTTTTTCTTTTATTGTATCTATATGAGAATATGGATGCTAGTGGAACATATTTCACAATATATGTAATTCAAACCATCATGCTGTATGCCTTAAACTTAATGTATGCCAATTATTTTTCAATAAAACTGGGAAAAATATACTTCTATTTGGTGAATTGGAAAGGCCACAAAGCAAACTTTAATAAATCCCAAATAAATAAAAATAAATAATAAATATAATATTCTTGGATCACAATTCAATAAAAATACATTTTTTAAAAGTCAGAAGGAAAAAGTCCTCCTAGCTAGAGATGTTAAAATCTTAATCTTAAGAAAACTGTTGCTGCAGGGGTACTTCAAATAAATATGATAATATGTGTAGAAAAGAATAACAAAGGAAATAGTATATGTCAGAATCTCTGAGATACACATAAAATGGTACCCAGGGGAGCATTCATAATATATATTTTTAAATATCCCAATTCTAATTTTACTCTTTTTGTATATTATTCATGTAACAATTTGTAGTACTTATTGATATACCTTTATATGTATTTGCTCCCACATGCATATACAAGTACATAAATATACAAATAAGCAGGGATTAATTTGCAGTCTTTAATTATAGTTTTACAATATAATTAAGTTAGTAATAAAGTAAAACAATGTAGATGACATTAATGTTCTTGAATAGTTGCCTGCAGACAGCTGAGATACGAATAATGACTATTAATGACCATTAGCCTTTATGTGCATATAAGCACTTACGCCATAAGTTCTTACCAACTGCTGCCTTTTTATAGACAAAGAAACTGAGGCTCAGAGAGAAGTGCTTCCTGAGAGTCACACAAAGAGGAGTGTAGAGCTGGGATTTAAATTCAGACTCTGTGTGTTCCCAGAAAATGGTTTAGTTTTTGACCCAGACTGCCTTGTTTTTGTTTGGGTTGGTGCAGGACAGAAACATAAGGAAAAAGTTAAAACTAGCCACCCTTACACTAAAATGAAAAAGTTGAATATTCACAGTATTTAAAACAATATACAAGATACTGTCCTAATGAGAAGAGAGAAAATAGGTTCTTTGGAAGTGTTTTATAAACTTCTTATGGAAACACCCCGTCAAATAGTCTATCGGAATGGAGGAGAAGGTATGCCCTGGAAATCTTTAGAGAAGGCACTATAGGTGACAGGAGCACGTATTTGCAACAGCCACATTACAACACTCAAGTGCCACTGCACTGGTGCACAGGCCTGGTGCGTGGGGTTTTCTGCATACGTGGATAATGCCACGCAGTGCACGTGTAAACAGTCTCCTTTTGCACAGCAGGCCTTTAAGTAACTCAACATACTGACATCTTGAAGAGAAAAATAACAACATATTCCTTTTGAGGGGTTTATCTGTGTCAGGCACTTAGTGCTAAGTTCTTTACATGCATTATCTTATTTAGTTCTCCACAACTTTATGAGATTTTGTTTCTCTCTGCCATTAAACTTGAGACATCTGCCTCTACAAGTGCCTTGTCAGCCAGTTTAAAATATAACAAATGGATTCAAATGATATCATATGCTTACAGTGTATAAAGAACTTATCCTCTAGGAACTGAAATCTGAAAAGATACATGGGACATAAATAACACTCTTTATAGAAATCTAGAACTACTGTAATTTTGGAATGCCAGATTAAAAAACATTAGATATTATTTAGATATGGGGGAGAAAACCTTTTCCATGCATTGCTTGATTTAAAAAAAAATTCATTATAGAAAGAAAGAAATAGGTTCACCTGAGGGTGAACTACAAATATTACGTAAATATAAATAAAAGACACTGAAGTGGGAATCCAGTAGTGGAGAAAGGAATATGACAGAGGAAAAGAAGGTATTAAATAAAAGGTGCCCCCAGTGAAAGCTGTAACAAGGTTCAAGGTGGTGAGCATTTTGGAAGGGTTTTCAAGTGAGTAGTGGCATGGTTAAAACATCACTTGAGAAATAGGATCATGGCCCAAGTGTTAGGGCAAAGGTAAATATGCCACTGATTACTACTGAGGCTGCACAAAGGCAAGCGATTGTACAACAGGCGCAATATTACCTACTGGTAAGTCTATTTCATCAAGATTCTTAATTTCTCAAAATCCTACTGAATGAAACCCAAAGAGCCAGAGAGGGAGTAGACATGAGATAAGCAGATGCACTTACAGGGACAGAATCAAAATACCCTGGTTTCTCTCAAGGGCCCATTTCTCAAGATAGAAGGGTTGGGTCCATGGTATAATTTTAGATCTAAAAATAATACCAAACATGTTTTCACAAGAGAGACTGTTAGTGTCTGATAGTTCTAAGCTTGGAAGTGCTAATGGGTCTCCTTATGATGGAAAAAATTTAGGCAAAAATGAGTCATCTCCGCTGCCTTTAGGTCCAGGAAGAGCACTTGTTTTTTTTTTCAGGGACTCTGTATAAGAACAGGTGGCACAAATTCAAGTGGTAATAAGTCATCCAAATGCTGCTTCTACTTTCAACCCACCATGTTTTACTGCCTCATTTGGAGAAAAGGGTACAGGGGGCAAGAGGATCACATGAGAAGTCCCAATAGCTTCCTGTCTTGGCAATATGGCAAGCAAAACAAATACACAAAAAAGCAAAACTTGTCTGCCAGTCCTATTAACACACATCAATCAAGTAAACAGGCCCATAAACCTTGGTTATATAAGGCCCAGTAATTCACTCCATCACTAACTATAACTTGATTTAATTGTTTCTGTTAGCATTAACTTCACCGAAAATATCAAATGTTGACCGAACAAGCAAGCATATCCCTGTTCTTTAGACAATGTCACTGTGCACTGAACTGGTATGCTGCTTACCGTGGTCCAAGACATAAAATACATTGTTCTTCCCGCTGCATTTTCTCCAGGGCTTTGTCAATTCCGATTGGAATGTCGTGGTCTTCTCCTTCGCCAACAATGAAAACCACATCTCTGCAATCAAACATCCTTTCACCACAGCGGCCTTCCAGGTGGACTGAGGGAGAGGAGACAGGCAGTCAACCAAGCTGTTCCTTAGGACTGGCGAACTTAGGGAAGTGATAAATGAGTGTTTCCCCTTCTCACTTCATCTAGAGCAGAGGTTCTCAACCTGTGGGTCGAGACCCCTTTGGGGGTCGAATGACCCTTTCACAGGAGTCGCCTAAAACCATTGGAAAACACATATATAATTACATATTGTTTTGTGATTAATCACTATGCTTTAATTATGTTCAATTTGTAACAATGAAAATACATCCTGCATATCAGATATTTACATTATGATTCATAACAGTAGCAAAATTACAGTTATGAAGTAGCAACAAAAATAATTTTATGAAAAACAAAAATAATAATTTTATGATTGGGGGTCACCACATCATGAGGAACTGTATTAAAGGGTCGCGGCATTAGAAAGGTTGAGAACCACTGATCTAGAGATATAATGGTATGTGTTGTGGAAGCTTAGTCTATTCATTCTGAAATTTAAGAGCAATCATGTTTCTTCCTGTTTTAAGCTTAAACTTCGAATTACTGATAACTATATCAATATGATAGCTTAGTGAATAATAAAAGTATGGAAAATAGGTTTAATTGAAACCTACTAAATGGCAGAGGTTTCCTCAGAGGATCAAGAAATACTATATTAATGAATAATTATCAAAATGCCACCAATTTAATATCAAATATGTAATGGCTTAAACATTTAGAACTGTACCTTGCTTTGGATACTAGGATGAAAAACTGAATGACCATTTCCCAAGGTGTACTGGTTAATAATGGCGGATTTTGTAATCAAAGAAAACACAATAATTTCAAGAGAAACATCAAAAGTGCTTTATTCAAAGTAATGTCCATCTCTAGCTATACATTTCCCCCATCTTTCAGGTAATTTGTGGATACTGTCCCAATAGAACTTTTCTTGTTTTGAGGCAAACCATTCAGAGACCCAATTTTCCACTTCTTCGTATGTTTTGAAGTGCTGCTCAGAAAGTGCATGTGCCATCGATCAGAGCAAGTGGTAATCTGAAGGAGCAAGGTCTGGTGAATACAGCGGGTGGGTTAATATTTCCCAGGCAAGATCTTTTAACATGTCTTTAACTGGTTTTGAAGTGTGTGATGGTGCGTCATTATGAAGCAAAATGACTTTGCCGTGTCTTCTGGCCCATTCTGGTCGTTTCACGATCAAAGTGTGGTTTAAATTGATTATTTGTTGTTGGGAGCATCAGTATTAACAGTTTCACCTGGTTTTAGAAGCTCATAATACACCACACCTACCTGATTCGACCAAACGCAGAGCATTGTCTTCTTTCCGAAGCGATTTGGCCTTGCAGTCGATGTTGATGATTGACCTGGATCAACCCATGATTTTGTGCGTTTGGGATTCTCAAAATAAATCCACTTTTCATCGCCAGTCATAATTTGATGCAAAAATGACTTTCTTTCATGCCGTTGAAGCAACATTTTACTGATGACTTTTCAGTTTTCCATTTGTCTTTCGTTCAGTTGATGTGGCACCCATTTTTCTTTGTTTAAAATCTTTCCCATTGCTTGTAAACAAAAGGAAATTGTTTGCTGAGCAACGTTTAATCTTTCTGCAAGTTGTTTTTGAGTTTGACAAGCATCTTCATCCAATAATGCTTGAAATTGTTGGTCTTCAAACTTTTTCGGTTGACCTGGATGTTCTTTGTCTTTCACATCGAAATCATCACTTTTAAAGTGTTTAAACCAGCGTTCACAGTATCTTGATATGGAGCATGTTCACCATAAGCTTCCCGAAGTATACGGTAGCTTTCAGTAGCACTTTTCTTCAAAATAAAGTAATGAATTAAAACTTTCCGCAAATCCTCTTTTTTTGGCATGAAATTCGACATTTTTAAAAAATATATTTTATTGATTTTTTATAGAGAGGAAGGGAGAGGGATAGAGAGTTAGAAACATCGATGAGAGAGAAACATCAATCAGCTGGCTCCTGCACACTCCCCACTGGGGATGTGCCCGCAACCAAGGTACATGTCCTTGACCGGAATAGAACCTGGGACCCTTGAGTCCGCAGGCCGACACTCTATCAGCTGAGCCAAACCAGTTAGGGTGAAATTCGACATTTTTAAGTGTAAAAATATCTATGATGTCAACACCTTCAGCAAATTTGACATATGAAGTTTTGAAGCTTGCTGTCAATACAACAAAACAGCATACAAATCAAATCGCATATATACCAACATATTACTCCTCCATCTACTGAAAAAAATCTGCATTATTAACCGGTACACTTGGTATATACTAGAGGTCCAGTGCACAAAATTTGTGCGGGGGGGGGGGCTGGCCTGCACCCTCTCGCAATCCGGGACCCTTCAGGTAGGGTCCGTAGGCCTGGCCAGCGATCAGGGCCTATTGGGGTTCGCCTTCCCCCAGATGCTGGCAGCTGGACCCACCTCCGCCGCTGCCACTGCTTGCCATCTGTGGGCCATCTGTGGGGTGTGATCGCTTTGGCTGGCCTGGGCCTCCCTCTGTGGGGCGATCTATCGTGGGGCCACCAGATCAATCACCCTGCAGAGGGAGGCCCCGCCCACCTGCTGCCAGCCTGGTAGCCTAGGCCTCCCTCTTTGGGGCAATTGATCACAGGTCTCCGTGATCGATCATCCAACAGAGGAAGGTCCCGCCCACCTGGCCAGGGCTCTGCGCTCAATCGCTGCACAGAAGGTGGCCTGGGCCTCCCTCTTTGGGGTGATCACGAAGCCCCCCTCCCATTGATCGCCCCACTGGCTGGTGGTCTGGGCCTCCCTCTGGGGCAATCAATCGCTGAGTCCCCCCATTGATCGCCCCGCTGAGAGCGGCCTCGGCCTCCCTTTGCAGGGCGATGGTGGGGCACCCCGACCAATCGCACTGCACCAGCCTTGGCTGGCCTGGTACCAGTGTGTATAATAGTGTGGTTGTCCGGAAGGTCATCCAGACAGTCGTTCTGTTGTTTGGTCATTAAGTCGATTTGCATATTACATTCTTATTATAGATATATCTATATATATAAAAGCCTAAGTGACCATACGACTGGTAGCTATGATGCACACTGACCACCAGGGTGCAGACGCTTTTTTGAAGCTTGCTGTCAATACAACAAAACAGCATACAAATCAAATCGCATATATACCAACATATGCATACTCCATCTACTGAAAAAAATCTGCATTATTAACCGGTACACTTGGTATATATGACCAGTAGGTTAGCTTGCTACTGGGGTCTGGCCAATGGGGACTGGGTGAGACAGGCCGGACACGCCTTGGAGCCCTCCAGCGGATCCTCCCCAGCCGGCGAACCTCCCACGGTACCTCCCTGGCCCCAATCGTGCACCAGTGAGGACCCTTGGCCTGCCTGAGCCCTCTTGCAATCCAGGACCCTTCGGGGGATGTCCGCAGGCCAGGCCAAGGGACCCCACCGGTGCACGAATCTGTGCACCGGGCCTCTAGTATTTGAATAAAAATGGAAAACCCAATGGCAACATCATCAACAACTAACATAGCCATATCCCTTGGTGGAGAAATAAATGTAAAGTGTGACAATCAATAAGTACTCTACTATACCATCACAAACCAAATTACTTAACCATTGCCTGTAAAATGTTAAGCTGAAGAGGTCAATTTCTTGGGGCCCAATTCCCCACTCCACTCACACACTCAGCTCGTTTTGAGGGTAATTTTATATTAGACAAGGGGCTTTTATGGTTTTTCCAAGACAAAATAAGAAAAATGCATGTATTTTTTTCTTAATCGATTAGACCCCCCCGCCCCCCCCCCCATAAGCAATACTCTCAAACTTTCAACTACTTTTATTTTTTTTAATAGTAAGGGTTATTCATTCCTTACCATTTAGATCTTTGACTCAATAAGAAAAAATCAATTGCTTGTATTATTGCACAACAATATCTTGTCTTTCATAAGAAAATTCTTTATTCCTACTTCTGTAATCTAATAGCCTAGATTAAAATGTAACGATTTCCTAAAATGCTTACTTTTTTTTTTTTTTACTGGTTGCTCTACTGTACATCAATAACTTGCTTTAGAGACTTAAAAAAAAAATCACTCATTCTGTTATAGTCATTCCATGAAACAACTATTTTCCAAATACAAATTTAATTCCAACTTACTCTATTTTTGAACTACATGATTTCAGGTCCTGTGAAGCTCTAAAATTCTATGGTTCTGTGACCCAATAATATAACTCTCAATATAGGCCACAAATCAGTTTCAAAGGTAATTCCCATAGTTAATCATTTGATCAGTTACTTTTAGCCTGGGCCTGAGAAATGAGAGAAACCCTGAAGACACCAGTTCCATTGACACGAGGAGCCACAATGTCTCATGGACATTTATGCCTTTCTAATTCACTAGGATTAATAGCATCCTGATTTGTTCCCACTGCAGACTTAGGATGGAGTCGAAGCTTGGCCAAACTAGAAAAGGTTTGACTTTCAGGGTACACCTGGCATATAGGAATTTTGCTCTTTGTCCCATACTCATAAATGCTGATGGTTCTATTCCACAAACTTTTGGAACGCTCTAGATCAGTGGTTCTCAACCTTCTGGCCCTTTAAATACAGTTCCTCATGTTGTGACCCAACCATAAAATTATTTTCGTTGCTACTTCATAACTGTAATGTTGCTACTGTTATGAATCCTAATGTAAATGTCTGATATGCAGGATGGTCTTAGGCGACCCCTGTGAAAGGGTTGTTCGACCGCCAAAGGGGTTGCGACCCACAGGTTGAGAATCGCTGCTCTAGATAAAACGTAATCAACTTGCAACACATTGAAAGTTCTTTTGAATTGGAAAATATCTGAAAAATAAATTCAACTTTATTATTTTCAAATGTATACATATACTAGAAGTATAGATATTTTTACTAGAGTAAATGCTGATGTTTCTAAAGTTGTGGGTTCTGAAAAGTTTGCGTTAAATATTTTTAAATCTGCCCAAGAAATTGAATTTAGATGAATGCGA